ACTCTAACAATTATATATTTGGGCTTATTTTGTATTAGTTATTCTTATTTTTGTATATTCGGGCCTGTCTTGTACTAGTTTTGTAATTGGGCCACATTTTATGTAAAGAAGATGTATTGAGCAGCCCAAATAGCTTTTATCCTCCCCATATAAAAGGGAGTTTTAAGGTTTTCTGTAAACACTTTTCGTTTTCCCATTTTTCAGATCTAATAAGATGTTTTTCCTTTTTCTTTAGTTCTCTTTCGTTCTATCAGATTTCATATGAACAACTTGTTCGATAAATCATATTACACTCTGATGCTTAAGTCAAACACGATATCACCAAAAATACCATGGAATCTGTGAAGATTGAGAAATTGTGTTAGAAAGTGAAATTTATCTCTTACTCGTAATGAATTGCTTAACTTGCTACCCAAAACATGGTTTCCCCATAATATTCTTCTTCGCAACCGTGGAATAAAATAAGATACTCCATCCTATTCACAATATGTGTCGTTTTAAGACGTTGCATAATAATTAAGAATTTATTTTGTCAATAATAACCTTCTTTAATGAAAATTAATAACGTGAAAATTAAGAGTGGATATTAAAAGGCGTAGTATATTTATTAGCTAACTAAGAGTAATAATGAAAATATATGTACAAAAAATAAATCCAAAACGTCATTTATTTGGTTCATGGTTGATAAAGTCAAAATGACATTTAAAAAAACAGGAGAGTATTATCCATATAGAATTCATAGCTCAACCTCAAATTAGTTTCATTGTTAAAACTTCTGCGTCGGGGCCAAAACATAGTTGAACTGAAGATATCATACCTTAAAGAGAAAAAGTAAATTCAAATTGAAAAACCATTACAAGATGGGATAGCTAAATTTTAAGGCGGTGCTTGGATACTAGTTTTATCCAATCAATGTTTTCAAATTACTTTTTTAACTCATATTTACTTCAGATTTAACTCAGTCCAACTCTCCTCAATATTATCAATATAGTTAAATAAACTCATCAATTATTCTCACACGTCACATTAATTTTATTTCACTGTTCATTCAGTCACATAATTTTAACGACTCATCACCCTCAGTCGTCGCTCTCCTACTTTTAGATCAAGTTAAATGTGATTATTTTATTATTTAAATACAAACTCAAAATGCCACTTAAACTCAACTCAACCAGTATTTTTTAAAATTAACTCCGATTAACCAAAAAATTCAATCAAAAATCAATTAATAATTTGTATCCAAAGAATATTCCCTAATGGATTAGGTTTTGTAGAAGGGCATTTGGCATGAACCAATCACGTTATGGCCATTTCCAATTGATGGAGTTTGGAGTTGGCAAATAAGAAAAAGTCAACCCCTTTTGAGTTCACAATGAGGCTATAATGCGTGTGAACATTCATGACCACCACCATTAACAAGGGTTGGAAAATATTTCAACTTTATAAGTCAACCCATATTTTATTCAAGAAATGGAAAGAGAAGTTAGGTCAACGGTTATACTATCTTATTTCGATGGCATATGAGTATATGATGACCATTTGGAGTTTAGCAATTTTTCGGTAGCTAATAGATCACGCGAAAAGCCATAACATGATAAAATGTACTCACATTTTTGGTGGTATTCGCATGCTGATCATTTTAATTATATATAGACATTAATAGACGTACTTTTGGTCAGACCAAAAATTCATTTCCTAATTCACAACTGCCACAAGAAAATCTTTTTTTTTTTCTTCTTATTATTAAGAAAGGAGCAATTCCCAAGTTAAATGACTTAAATTAGATTTTCTTTTGTAACTTTTTATGTCTTCTGAAAGTTGGGGGTACCGGGTATGCAACTGAATTTTTTTTTAGATTTGTCAAATTTCTAGATTTGTCCCGGGTGCCAGTAGAGCAGGGACGCTGGCAAGTGTCGTGGGTGCGATTCGCATCATACCACTGCAGGCGACGCGAGCGACGCTAGGTATCGAACGCAGGCGTGCCACGTTGCAGGTGTCGCGTCACAGTGTCTCGGGTTGCAGCTCATCGTGCCACGAACACCGGTCATCCCTGTGCGTGCAAGCGTCCTATTTTGGGTGTTCTTGTGCGTGCCATCCCGGATGTCCTCATGAAGACCTAGGGCTCCCCGACCACAGTACGCAGTCCAGATTCCCAGGGCCAGCGACCTAGGTCTCTCAATGCTGTGTGCAGTAGACCAGTCCCGAAAAGACCTAGGTCCAACCAATGCCAGCAACGCCGAATGTGCCCAGCAGCCCGAGCCGCGAGCCGGCGAACCCGTTTTCGAGCCGATCCTTGAAACTTTACTTTAAAAAAATTATATTTGCAAAAATCGTAGCCAAGCCTTATTTTTATCTTATTCGAGCCTTTAGCCGAGAGCCTTAAATTAATTGAATTAATTAAAATAAATAAAAAATCATTTGAATAAATTATTAAGAAAATGAGATTTTTATATAAGATAAATTTTCTTAAATTGTAGTTTACGAGGAGTCGAGCCCTCGAACAGTTCTTTGAGCATCTAGCATTTTATTCATCTGCATTCGAAGTAGGGATTCTGTACTACATCTTATGCCTGATTGGGGCATTCAGTCAGATCTCCCGGTGTGCGGTTGGGCAGTAACCCTTTTCCCGCCGGTAAAAGTGTGTACACATTCACGTTGTGCGGTTAGCCAGAGTAACCCTGTTCCTGACGGAGAATACAGTTGAGACCAGTTTATTCATATTTCATTCTTAAGTTATATATGTTATTGTTTTGAATAATTGTGTAGTACATCTCCCTACTGAGCTAGCGTTTCAGAACGTAGATTTGTACGGTGGTCAACTTGGATAGAGCAGCTACGGCGGAGGTCCAAGAGAGGCGACAACTCTCCGAGGACAACACCAGAGAGAGTGTTGGCAAGCTGATCACATCGGACCGATCAACTGCGGTTGACAACAGCCGCCGGTCAAATACAATTTATAAGTTTATTTATTATATAATTAATTTCAATATAATATTGGTTATTGATATTGGTTATTGATATAACAAAATTAATTACTAAGATTGAATCTCATGTACTCAGAGCAAGACTCATTAGATCCACCCATTGCATATATTTTCTATTTGTTGCGACTACTTGCTCTACTTTCTCACCCTCACCTTGTACACTATTTAACCACCCTAAGACTTTTCTAGTATACGAGATTTCACCTCCACATTCATTTATAATCAAGTAAACATATTGAATAATCTAAAGCATACTTATTACTACTTTCTTATCAATTAGTATCCATCTTACTTGGAGACAACTTCCCTACTTTAGTTAAGATAAATTATACAAGGGAAAAATTGCAGAAAAAGGACCGAGCCTCCTTAAATTATGTGTAAAATTCGTTGTAGAGGTAATTTTTTGCCCCACACCAATGTCCCAGAAAAACCAATTGCTTCATTTAATGGGTCACCCAATTCTCTTCTTTCCTAACTCTCTGGAAGAGCTGATGACTCAGAAAATTTGCACATGCTCTCACAAAGCAATATACAATTCTTCACGTAATTATACGATTGTCCAATCATTATCAACTGAACCGCAAGTCTTATTATCTGAAGGAGAGGCCATTGGCTTCGGAGGCTTCTTTGAAAATATTGATGACAAGGGATGGCGCACGGGGCTATCCTCCGTATTACTATCCTTCAAGCTCTTAGAAGGTGCGGCCTTAGATGAAGATTTATTTTTTCCGCCAAAGATTAAACTAAGTTTCTTGAAACGGTTCTTCATTTCATCGGCAGGTGAGGTTTCTTCCGGCTGTACTGTGATTTTAATTGCTTCGTCTTGATTTAGAACCATAGTCTCCACCGTTTCGTAAATCTGTGCCGCCAAAAAATATAATAGAATTCCAATTATTTTTCTTATATTACGAATAGGCCATGAGGTTTCTATTCCTTCAGCAGATTGCCACCTTGATTTGGTGCATTCTGTCTGTAAGACACAAACAAACAATGAGGGGGTGCTTGTACAGTTGTACTTTTGATAAATAGCTGCCTTCTTACTATAATTAGGTTATGTCTCCTAGGAAGTATATGTAATGACGAGGGAAAATACTAAAGGATGCTATTCACACCAGTATTCTAGAAGTCGCTAGGCGCTCGACTAACAACTAGCACCTAGAGTGCCCGGGACATAGAAATTAAGATTAATTACCATATTTTTTATTTATTTTCACTACCTACAACTTATAATAAATTCACACACCTAAGTCCAAATAATAATATTAATATATTATAAATAAAACACGATAACATAATAATGTAATTTAATATTTAAATTTATTTTTTTTTTAAAAAAAAACTTAAAAATTGCCGCCGAGCCTGCCTAGGAGTTCCTAGGCCCGCCTAGCCGCCTGGCTGATTTTTCAGCCGATTCGTGCAAATCAGAGTCGGCCGGGCGGCGCCTAGGCCAGTTTTTAGTACGATGAACTCACACAATACAAGGACGAATGATCAGCTCATACCTGACATATATCATCGAGTTTCTCCATCCAAGTGTCTCCTTGACAAGTGAGGACAATGTAGTTCTTGCATTCGTCAAAAAAACTTGACAGACTCGAATTTGTGGAGAGGGTGGCCTCCGCAATTACTAATCCGGAGCCCAACTAAAATTTTAATGACATCAAGGGCACACAATTTACATGGTATGCAAAAAAAGGAAGAAAACAAATAAAACAACACTAGAATTCATGCGACTTCCAAACTTCTCTCATACTATGTCATGCTTTTTTTTTTTCCAGAAAATTGGACTTCAATTAGTGCTTACCATCAATAGGATGTTGAAATCCTAGATAACCTTTTTTTTCATACTTATAAAGGACTGAAAATTTATAAGGCGGGGAACTAAAAGCAAATGCTGGGTACAGGTCACCGAAAGACGATAACGATTTTACTTTTTGGATGGATACTTTATGCAGTTGAAATGAGAAAATAACAAAATAAAAGATAATAAAACAACAAGAAATCAAGATGGAAAACGAGTACTGAAAAATATTCAAGAGATCAGGGAGAGGGAATACTTACAGCAGCAATAAAGAGCTGCTTAAAAAGCTCAGATGGTGAGATTTCGTCCAGATGATTTAAAATACCTTCCCTGCATGAAGGTGATGCAATATTGCTTATTTAAATAATCAAAATGTTTACTAATAATTATCAGATAACCATTCCAGGTATACAGGAGCTTACACAGCCAGGTCTTCATCATAAAGAGGGGATTGTCTGACAGCTGGTACTGGCTTCGATGTGTCCCACAGTTCACGCCATAAATTGCCTAGACATCAATCACAACTCAGAAATCAAACTTACTGTGCCACTAAGTAAACATTTCCTCTATCATTGACAGGTGTTCTAAAGATTGGACTAGGTGCCTGCCTAGGCCAGCACTCCGGCACTCCAAGTTTTGTCTAGGTGGCTCTTTTAGGCGCCATCTAGGCTGGCTAGGCGACAACCTAGCAATCTAGGAGCAACCTAGGCACCCGTATAATTTTTTTTTTTACCTTTTTTTTTATTTATTTTCATAGTATAATAAAATATATCTTCATTTTTATGCATGAAATATTGAAATATACAATGATAATGGAATTAGCAAAATAATAATCATTTCAAAATTAACACAATGGTTATTAATATATTATATATTGGAAAATATTTATATTTAACCTTACTAAATAGTGTATTATACATAATGTATCTTGTAAATTATTGATGATGATAAATATAAATAAATTTATTATTGTTTCTATGACCCTGCCAAATCCTAGTCTAATCCCCATCTAGTCGCCCTAGGTGCTAGGTCCCCAGCCCGGCCGCCTACCATAAAAATCATGATTTTAACATGACACTTTGGATAGATAACAAACATACATAAAAAAAATTTACATGTCATGTAAACATGATTTTAAGATACTGAATAAATAAAAAAATAAGCAAATGAGAAACTTCCAGGTGATAAGAATATGACTTCTTCATACATTAATGATAAAATTAATTGTCCTTCTCAAAGCACAATTTACTACAAAATTTCCAAGTGACATGTCCCATTTAACTCTACATGCATCTAAATTCATTATTTAGTATTCGCTGACTATGATACGTGAGAAGAGGGATATTTTACCCTCTCAATCAAATACTAAACCTTCGGCTCACACAGACCTTTTTAAACTCAGCAAAGAAACTATTTTTACCTTCTTTTTGCATTCGCATACTCAGTTGGCCTTTAACAGTTGACAAGTCGCTCCCATCGCTGATATCATCTGTATCATTGGAAGTTTCGTTTTCCATCCAATCAGGAGGAGAATGCCATCTTACGAAATCCTCCAATATGCAACCTGGATTTGCTGCCTGACAAGAATGACCGGGTCTAAGAGGTGTTAGCCAGTACCATTGTAAACTTCTTCTCAAAACAATTAACCCTCAATGAAAAGAGAATGTTTGACGTTGAAACTTCACCTTGAAGGCCTGCATGTCCGAAAGCAGTTGGGAGCATCCTGCTCCAACACTGATGAAATAAAAGCAAAGCTAATGTCAAATAAATCCTAAATGACAGAAAAGTTCCATAATTCACACTGCTCTCATTACGAATGATGTTCTTGCAACATTTTTTTCATGTTAAATCAACCTACTTGGTGGTGTATGCTATCGCACTGAAGCATGTTTGGTAATATCTGCAGCTGTTTGTGAGACAACCGGATAAAAGATATTGATTTATTAGGAAAAACTGGGAACATGGTGTGAACCATTTAAATTACCATGGCATGAGGTATGAAATCCATTATACACTGAAGCATGTTTTATAATATCTGCAGCTGTTTGTGGGACAGCCGGATAAAAAATATTGATTTGAGAGAATCTAGGAACATGGTGTTAACCATTTAAATTACCATGGCATGAGCTATGAAATCCAATATAACCAAAGGCTTTAGAAACATAATGAGATAGAGATACTTTAGGGTTGATCGCATTAATTCGTGGTTACTTCTCAAAATTAGTCCAGGAAAAATTTGGTCAAACAAAATACGTAACTAGACTGACCTTCCAGTTCTCAGCACAAACTCCTCTGTCTCCTTGATAAGATCTTCGGTGAGCAAAGGTGGTTCCTATAAATTTAACATAAATGTAAGACATTAAAACTGAAGTAACATATTTCTTAAGCTTATGAAAACCGACCAACCTGCAAAACAGGTGAATAGACAGGTTCTCCAGTTTCTAGCATCGTCAAGTTTTCGCATTCTCTGTCAGCTCCTAATCGTAGCACACGTTCTCCAGACTTAGTTTTAGCATATAAACAAGGGTCCTGGGGAAGTGTGCCACTGGAATCTAAAGAACTCTCGGATTTTGAGCTTGCTCGAACCGTAACAGATTCTAGCGATTCAACAGCAGCAGTATGTCGTTTTTTTCTGGAAATGCAGCAGTTAACAACCTGTAACTGCTGATATAACAGGCATGAATTCAGGTCTGGGATATCATCTGTTGGGATCCCAGGAATATATTGCTCTTCATACCAAAGTCTTCTTAGCTGCAAGGTGAACGAGCAAATATGGATCTCACGTGTTAAGTGGCAGCATCAAATGATATTAGAATGCATAAAAAAGACCATAAAAGACAAAAGTACATTTCAGTTAAAGACCATTCAATTTGACCTTATCACTAGTTTATGCATTAAGCACGTATGCCAATTATATCTTTATTTAGATCTACTTTAGTGCCTAAACAAATAAATAAATTCAGTCATCCTGCATTTTTTATTATCTCCATATTGTTCTTTAAGGAACCATAAAACTGTGTGTCATTTATCAGGAACGACTTTAACAGGAGTCCCAAGGTAAACTGAACAAAAAAAAAAATACGTGCAAAATTAAGAAAAATTTATGAGGATGCCAGGACTCGTGAAGTTAAAAGTATCATATAAGCAAAGCAACATAAATTCAAGCATCTTTCTCCGTAAATCCACTTACTTCAGCAACAACCCTGGCCCAAAATGCTGCCATTTTCCGCAGGGTCTTTAAGAAACCAACTGCTTCGGAGAGTTTAACCACAAAACTTTCAATAGGAGCACCGTGGATATCTTTAAGTAAAAATGTCGCATTCGCCTGCAATTCTGCACCGCACAAAGCCCTTCCCGTAAAATGCCCTTCTGCGAGTACCTTGCCGATATTACATTAGAAGTGAAAATCAAGATAGAACAATGGATCATAACCAAAAAAAAAAAGATCGATTCAGTTCACAAGAACAGGTCAGCACCATACACGTGCATGCAGTGACAAAAACCTCATGAAGCAAAAGAAAAAGAGAAGGATGATAATGGCCATACAGGGTTACAAAATTATCTACCTGTATTTAGCAATGCATTGATTACACACATGACCTTTTCATCACCTCCAAACTCATTGGTCAACTTATCATCTTTCTCACGAAGCACTAGTGATTTCATTGCTGAAAAGCTTAAGCTAGCCCTCTCTCTGATGGGTGAAGACCCTCTTGAAGACACAAGGAGCTCTTTCATGGAGCTGTAGTTCACTCCAGCTCTGTGAAGGACCAAATAGACTAAGCGTAAAAAACCAGACACGGCTATGGATTCCACACAAACATTGAAAATACATCTATGAATCAGGTTGATGAATAATTGCAGCAATATTTCATTTTGAATAGTGTGTAACCGAAAAGAACAGCGAGAATTCATCTAAAGTGACAACAAAATTCGGCCTATATCAGCTGATTGCAAGTTTAGTTGTAAATGTATAATCCAACTCAATGTAAGTCAGCATAAAGGGATACAGGCTATTAATTAGAACTCTTACTCGACTGCTATAGCCAACTGTTTCACAATTGCTGATGATGGAATAATATCCTTGTTGAAAGTTTTTGAGCCTTCCCCTGCTGCTCCCTCTTCTGCTTCCTGAAAGATGCCAACCAACCAATTCAGCTGACGCATAGATGGCCAACCAACCAATAAAAGGTTCCAAACTTGGCTGTGATAAAGTTGATAAGATAATAAAGGTTTTCACATTGACTATGAAAAATAATAAGCAAGAGACCGTGTGTTTTCTGATGTAGTCATTGACATCATTTTTCTTTCAAAACTTTTTCTCATTACTTTCAGTCCAACGGCATACCTTCTTTTTTTTTTCTTTACAAGAATATTGTTTCAAAAGCCCAAAACAAGAAAAATGAACAAGATAAAAATAAAAACACATCTTGAACTGCTTCATAATTATGATAATTAATAAAAAAAATTGTTAATACATGATATATGTGTTTATGTCATAACATCTTGTGTCAACTAATTTGTGACAAATTATGCCTGAAACAATTTGTAAGGCCATTCATATTTTACATGTAGTCTTAACATCTCATAGTTCACATAGTATCTTCAATACGCCTATCGCGTATACTATAGTCTCATTAAATACGACTACAGTTCACATTTTTATAATGAAGCAATATGGAAAATCTGACTCCCTTCCGGTACAAATGAATAAAAAAGCAATCTTTAGCTTAGCAGCAACCTCGAACAAAATTAACATCTGGATTTGCTAAGTTATGCTTACCTTAGAATTTGAGAATTCTCTCTCACCCATCATGTATAAATTCTCATCAAAAATTGCATAAGCCATCGTTGAATGGTCAGGCTTCTCGGAACCTTCCGCTCCTCTTTTCCCTATTCTTATGTTCCTTAATCTTTCATGCCAATCTACCTTGGTCTTTATTGGCCTTGGTCTCACACTCTTATTTTTTATTTCACGGGAATCCTGCAGTCCAATCGTAAATCAATGTCACACAGATAACTTACAAACTAATTCTGCGACAACAACTAAAAGCTATGCCGAATCAGGAAAAAGCACCCTCAAGTACACATGGCCCAGAGCGAAAAATGATTCAAATAACAATTGGCACAGTCCAGTATTTCTATAAACAGACGCATAGAGAGTTGGGTAAAAGGAACTCAAAATTCCCTTAAAAGGGTACAAAGCAAATCATGATCCTGGCGAACAAATTCAAATCAACATCAAAATGAAACTCAAATCCACTTTCATTTCTTCGTTTACCAGTCATCCAATTAGAGGCTTGAAGAAACAAGCTCTAAATGTCACCAAAGCTCCATATAACATTTCCCCGCGATTGGAATTTAAAAGAAAACAAAATGAATCCAATACAGAGGACGCGATTACCTTCGATTCATCGGCGTCCTTCGGGGTCTCTGGCGTTGATGACCCTGGCGATCGTTTATCCAAATCTTTCAACTCGAACAGAAATAAAAAAAAAAATAATAATAAATAAATAAACGCCTAAAATATAAGATGGATCCCAAAAATAGTAAATGGAACTGAATCGAAATCCGATCGGAAGGGACAAGTGTCTAAAAAAAGGAGAAGAAAGAAAGAAAGAGAAAGGGGGGAGCATAGCATACCACGATGGGTGGCAGAATCAGACTTTTTGATGTCTGTGAAGACCTTCTCCGCTTTAGCAGCAGCGGAATTGATGGCTGTCCTAGCTCTGGATAGCGCCTCCATTTTCCTGCGGCACATTAATTAAGGGAAGGGAATGATACCACGAAATTTATTGACGCCATGGCCATGGAGGAGAGCCTAATGGGGGCACAGAGGGAATGAGGAGACCAAAAATTGAACCAAAATGAAATGAAGCTGTTCACTGAAATTGCGTCGAAGAATTTCAAGAAAGTATACATTAAAAAATACTAGCACTGCGCGACTTTGTGTTAAAGTGTACACGAGGAAATTATAACCTATATACATAGTTTTGAACCCGGCACGGGAATCGACCCGGTCAGGTCTCCGGTCACCGGTTCAACCGACGAGTCACTGAGTCACTAGTTGAATCGGCTAATTAATTTTAAATTTTTTTAAATCACATATAGAGTATTTTGACTTAAAAATATTTGTAAAAGTAACAAAATTAATGTTCTGTATGTAAGATTTTTTTTTTTCAAAACGCTACAATGTTATGGCCTTGTTTGGCAATCAGCGGATAGCTGATAGCGGATAGCGGATTGTATTAGCGAATAGCGGATAGCAGATTGTATTAGCGGATAGCGGATAGCGAATTATATTAGCTGATTTGACCAGCGAATTTCATTAGCGATTTTTAAATAAGTGTTTGGTAAATAGCTGAAAGCTTATAGCTGTTTGACATTGCAAATTACCAATAAGAACATTTTTATTATTTAGGGTGTTTTCTTTTAATAATAATATATTAAAAATTTAATATTCTTTAGTTGGTAATTTATAAATATATATATATATATATATATATTTAAAATTTACTAACATTTGATTAAGAAGTTATAAATTTTACATTTTTCTAGATAAATTAATCATATGGATGACATATTATTACTTATTAGCACCATAAACCAATGTAAATTGTAAAAATAAATAATACAAATTAAAAAGTTCCAAATTAAAATAGTAGATTGTGAATCCTCTATCACAAAAAGCTCCTCTAATGAGCTTTTTCTAAATTAGAGTTTTGGGCCCAAAAGCTTATCAAATAAGCTATTTACCAAACAAGCTCAATAGCGGATTTGACGGGTCAAACCTCTCAATTAAGTCCAATCCGCTAATTTTTTCAATCCGCTATCTTCCAAACGGGGCCTATATGTAACTCAAACCAGAACAATGTTCCAATACAAAGGGGAATACCCCAATCCAATCCTAAAAATCAAATTGAGAGGCACATCTTCAAGATGGCCTAGAGCCTCAAATCAACAATCAATCTTCAAAGAAAAAAATCAAGCTAAACAACAAGTTCATGGGGAAGTCTAACCACTACCATAAGGCCTAGCAGGCTCCCCAGGACCAAACAAGATCAGAAACCAAAATAAACAAAGCTAACTACCAAACATAAAAAATTTGAATTTGCAAAATATTATCTTGAGCAAATGAACTCCTGCCATTATGAGAGAGTTGTTCTGACCATCATATGAACTGGAATGACAAAACCTTGAAAAATTCATAGATTGCGAGTCTTTCCAATGAAATACTCCACTTAAAATGAGTTTTTTTTTTTTGTTAAACAAAGTTAAATTTGAAAAAAAAAAGTGGTAT